CCACATTACCCATCTGTGTGGGAAATGGGGGCATGCCAAAAGCCAGATGGGTTTTATTTCACGTTGGTGTAATGCACCATGATTTCCCCCATCAGCTTCTTGTGTGTGTTTTTTTAAGTGAATATTTTAAAATAGAGGCTGGCACCCTGACCAGGTGGCTCTGTTGATTGGAGCATTGTCCCATACACCAAAAGGTTGTGGGTTTGATTCCCAGTCAGGGCACATTCCTAGGTTGTGGGTTCAGTCTCCCCACCTCTCTTCCTCTCTCTCTCAAATCAATAAAAAAACATATCCTCAGGTGAAAAATTTTAAAAAATTAGAATAGAGGCTGGAATAGCGCCTGAAATACTGAATGTAAAAAGCATGTGCTACGTACAAGTGGTTCTCCAATCAGCTGAGTTTTAAACCCTATTTTTATCAAGACAAAATTCTACTAGTTATAAAAATGGCACTTATTTTTTAAAAAAATGTCTTTATTGATTTCACAGAGAGAAAAGGAGAGGAGGNAAAAAAAAAAGTCTTTATTGATTTCACAGAGAGAAAGGGAGAGGGGGAGAGAGAAATAGAAACATCACTGATGAGTCATCGATTGGCTGCCTCCTGCATGGCCCCCACTGGGGATCAAGCCCGTTTGCATGTGCCCCAACCAGGAATTGAACAGCGATTCTGGATAATAGGTCGATGTTTAACTGCTGAGCCACACCAGCCAGGCAATGGCACTTAATTTTAAAAGGCAAGCCCATGGATTTAAATTCATAGAGATTTTATTTTTTTATTTTGAGAATTGACATTGGATAAAAGACTGAAAGGGAAAACTAAAACTTTGGTGGTAGATTTCTGCTCTGCTAGCCATGCCCGAGGGATGGCACTGCCACCTGGAGTCACTCCCAGGTCCCTGGCATTGTGCTGGGAGGTGTAAGTACTTCTTAGCTTTACCACAGGAGCCAACAGAAAGGCGAGGCTTGGCTAGGAGGTTAAGCCCTTGTTTAAAAATGTCAAGGCATCCCTGCCAGGTGGGTCAGTTGGTTGGAGTGTCATGCACCAACACTTCTGACACCAGACGAGTGGGCTTTCCCCCCTCACTAAGCAACTCTCTCTGCGGCCAGCTGGATGTCCCAGAATTTAAGTCAATACTGACACTATCTACCCGGAGACAGTGTCATATCCAATAGGCCAAGGGCTCAGCGTCACAAGACCACTCCCACNTCACTAAGCAACTCTCTCTGCGACCAGCTGGATGTCCTAGAATTTAAGTCAATACTGACACTATCTACCCGGAGATAGTGTCATATCCAATAGGCCAAGGGCTCAGCGTCACAAGACCACTCCCACCTCACTTCAGATGCCACTTGCAAATAGTAGATCCTCAGGTTACCCAAAACTTCTGATTTGACTACCAATTGGAGGTTCCCATGGCCTTCTCCTCAAGTTCGATTAATTTGCTAGAGTTGTTCAGGCAAACTCCCTAGAGCCCAGGGAAACACTTAGGGAAACACTGCAGGGAAGCATCTGTATCCTTTAGCGTATCCTTTAACTACCTTAACCAACTTCCTTTTTGTTGTTGTTGTTAATCCTCACTTGATATTTTTCCCCTTGATTTTTTAGAGAGAGTGGGAGGGAGCGGGAGACAGAGAAACATCCGTGTGAGACACATCAGTTGGTTGCCTCCCGCACGCATTATATTTCTATTGAACAGCACTGTTGACTGCTGATCATGTTTCCAATTACAAGCTGTGTCAAAAGACATTACTTCTCTAAAGTTCTTGGGTTTCCGAGGATGTAGAATGCAGACAATGTTACGGTTGGCCCGAAGACCGACTGTGAATGAATAATGCATGTGACATGCTTAGCAATGCCCCCAAGTAAAAGATAAATTTGATGGCTATTTTAAAATAGTTTCTCTATTGATGCCGTCAGAGATGGGCCGTGTCACACGCTCGGTAAAGGCCCTCTCTCTGCGACCTTAGCAACTCTGACGACAGAAATAACGCTGTTTGCCGCCCGAGGCCTGATGCCGCTTTCGGGCCGAGGCCGCCCTCTCCACGCCAAAAAGATGAAAACGACCCAGGCTCCCTCCTGAAAGCGGGGTATCTGTACTCATGAAAGGAGCCCCGGCAAAACCCTGAAAACAAACCGTTCCCGGGCCTCAGGGCTTCCTTTAGCGACCGCAGCCCGGCCCATCGCTATGGGGGGCGGAAAAAATAAAAAGAGGGAGGAAAAACAGGATGTGGTCCGGCGGCTTTTCCCCTCCGGCGGCGGCTGTTTCCGGTCCTCCCGGCAGCCTGTCCTTCGCTTCCCCTTTCCCCCGAAGAGCTGGGACTCTAAGCGCGGGTTCCGCCGCCCCAGGAGCCCTC